TGGTTTGATGACTGGTGGGGTACTGATCAAGCATCAGAAGTGGTGAAAAAGCACAGATTCACAGAAAGAATGAAGTAGAAGTAATGAGATGCTTGCCCACAGGTCCTCAGGTACAGCTTCTTCCTCAGAAAGGACAACAGTGACCATCACAATAGTGACATCACCAAATCTCACAAAAAATTATTAAGACAGGAATTAGAGACATAAGTACCTTAGACGATCTCACGCTACAGAGCTATAGCTACAAGTGTCTAGGCACAGGAAGTACCCTGCTATTTTTCAGTAGGGATTTAAGGCAAATGGTAAGACTTTTAAGGTATTGTTTAGGCACAATTAACATTTCTGAATGTTCTTTAAATGGCATAAAAGCTCCACTTTTGAAGTTCAGGTCCAATTCAAAGCTGAACTATGCATATGTCATACCTGTGGTACCACTGTGGAGGATAGCCTTAGTAATCACCTATATTACAGTGCATGCTGATGTCCTCTGGGTCCCGTATTGACCAGCTGCCTTGCTGCATAGTAACCACATTGGTGTCACGTGCTTGGCACGGGTGCCATTCACAAAACACATTGCTTTTATTCTCAATGATGGCAAAGCATCCTCTGATTGGACAAGGTGGAGATCATGTTATCACTGCTCCCACCTTGTCCAATTGGAGAACACCTTATATTCACTGAGAAAAATGCAAGGCATTCTGTGAATGGCTCCTGTAAAGACTGCAGTGATCACTGTAGCAGAGGTGACTACTACTGTTATCCTCTGCTTCCACAGAGGTCCCACAGGTATAGCAAATGCATAGTTAAATTGGTCAGCTTTAGGGTGATTTAACAAAGTAAAAGGCAATGTTCAGTTCTTATCTCTTAGGTTGTCTGATATATCCACCATATCCCCCCCCCCCCCCCCAATTTACAACCTGGGAAAGTATGCTGTCAGAAACTGAGAATGTCTACTGTTGGAATCTTTGTTCAGATACCATGAAAATAGAATATAAAGAACAAAATGGGTTCCAGCATGACCATGTTACATTATGTAGGGGTGATAAGTTCAGACCTTTCAGTTTAATTCAGAGAGCACAGAATAATTCCAACATATCCCCTCCTTTTTCCTATGGTATTCAGGTGGACAACCTAAGACGTATCTTGGAAAAAGGTCAGAATATATGTCATTAATTCTAGAGAGTGTGGCTTTTCTTCATCCTGGATTGAGGGAGGTTTTCCTCTTTTCCTCCAAACAGATACGGAATGGTAGTATCTGTATTGAAATGGAATTAACTGTCAAAGTAGTTGTTGCCACCACCATACCCAAAGAGGTGAATACAAGGCTTGCAATCATGAAACTGATTAATCCCTTTGGTTATTCATTTTTAGACATTGGTGAAGTAATGGTTTCTTGGCGTGTTCTAAAATGTCCCGTACTCTTGCTTGAGCTTGGTTTACGTGGGCAGTAAAACATTCTTGCGCTTCCACAAGTTGTAGGTGCGATTTAAACAGCCATGTTTCTTTTTCTTTCTTTGCTTTAGCTTCAGCTATTTGAAGCACATAGCCAGCAACACGTGATTCATCAGACCAGATAAAATTTGCATACCCTGCAATCCTCTGCATTTCAGTTACCCAATCATTAATATCCTCTTTAATATCCAATTTATCTTTCACAAAAGACATCACCTGAGATTTCATCAATTCTCTAGCATCTCTCTGACTAAAACTAGCTTCAGATTCTGCACTAGAATGATCAGATCTACTCTTAACGCTCTTGATATCAGACATTTTTTGCATATGCAATTGACAACAGCACTTTCAAAACCAAGAAAATGATAGTAAAATATATATACTTGCACAATTATACTTCTCTATTTGTTTCAAATTTAGGCAAATCACGGTGGGACCTACAAAATATGTCAGAACTCTAGTTCTGAAAAAAATAATCAGTATATAATTTATGAAAACAGGCGCAGATCTGGAATTGAGGAGATTCCCTACTAATATTCATAAATCAACTGATAATCCAAGTTCTTTATTTGTGCTAATCTGAAGGTGAAATAAACAGCAATATTGTGCAATATATATATATATATATATATATATATATATACATATATATATATATATATATATATATATATATATGTACTAATAAGAAAAATCAGTGCAAAACAGTAATTAAAAAAATAGTAGTACAATTACCTAATCAAAATATATTGGTTACAAATTGCAAGAGTGGACCTCTAACCTTCAGCTTGTTAAAAAGCTATACATTTTAGAGGTAGATGTTCTTTTGACAGAACTGGTTAGACAAACTGGGACCAGTGTCACTTAAAATAATGTATTACCTGAGTATTACCTAAGTGATTCTAATAAAAAAAAATTCTATCTATAAATCTTACAAACATTCACTGAGGTCATTAATACTAAGATTTCTTAATTATTTAACTTCTTCCGGAGCATACAAATGTTGTAATATAATAAACTCAAAATAAATATTTATAATGTTGAAAACATAATATCCATAATAAGCCAAAAATAGTGCTGCACTAATCACATAAACATGTGTGTCATACTCAATCCCATAGATCAGTGGTTCTTAACCTGGGTTCGATCGAACCCCAGGAGTTCGGTGAGTAAGTCTCGGGGGTTCGGCGGAGGTGACCCACACCCGACTCATATGATTTATGATGACATGCCCAGTGGTCGGCAAGCCGCGGCTCTTGTGTGCCGGGCGCCCGCTCCCCTCCCTCCTCTCGGGCGGCAGGGACTCAAATGCAATGATTGGCCAGTCTCGCTGCCACTCACATCCTGATAGCCAGTGATTGGCTGTCAGGATGTGTGTAGGCGGGGCAGCGTGACGAACGTGAGAGGAGCTAGGCTCCTCTCACAGTCCGCCCTGAAGACCGGAACGGCGCGGGAATACAGCGAGAGGAACGCGCGGAGCAAAGGTAAGTGAATTGACACAGGGGGGACTTGGGGACTTAATATGGGGGATGAATTAATATGGGGAATGAATTACTATAGGGGGATGAATTACTATATGGGGGATGAATTATTATATGGGGGATGAATTACTATATGGGGGATGTATTACTATATGGGGGATGTATTACTATATGGGGGATGAATTACTATATGGGGGATGTATTACTATGGGGGATGAATTACTATATGGGGGATGAATTATTATATGGGGGATGAATTACTATATGGGGGATGTATTACTATATGGGGGATGAATTACTATATGGGGGATGAATTACTATATGGGGGATGTATTACTATGGGGGATGAATTACTATATGGGGGATGAATTACTATGGGGGATGAATTACTATATGGGGGAGCAATTACTATATGGGGAAGGAATTACTATAGGGGGGATGAATTACTATATGGGGATGAATTACTATATGGGGGGATGAATTACTATGGGGGATGAATTACTATATGGGGGATGAATTACTATGAGGGATGAATTACTATGGGGGATGAATTACTATATGAGGGATGAATTACTATATGGGGGATGAATTACTATGGGGGATGAATTACTATATGGGGGATGAATTACTATATGGGGGATGAATTACTATGGGGGATGAATTTTCATACCGTTTGTTACAACATATCTTTGCGAGCAATCCTTTTCGAGGATGCTGGACATAAAGACGAAGAAAGGAACAGACTTTGTTGCGAAAATGACATGAGAGTGGCACTTGCCAAGGTAATGCCGCGCATTTCTGAACTGGCCTCTGAAAGACAACAGCAGAAGTCACACTGATTTGCGGTAAATATTCATTATTTTGTTTTTGTGTGAAAATCATGTTTTAATGGTTTTGTTCTTTGTTCTTAATGGTTTTGTTCATTTTGTGCACCTATGTATAAATATATACCTATGTTTTGAATTTTAAAAATCATATTTTATTTTTCCAATTAAGAAGGGTTCGGTGAATGCGCATATGAAACTGGTGGGGTTCAGTACCTCCAAAAAGGTTAAGAACCACTGCCATAGATTGTGACCAAAAAAAACATTACATACCATAAAGTCACACTGTGATATTATCAAAAGTAATCTCAGAGCGCATATGCCCATATACACCAAGTAGTATAACAATAAATCTTGATATATATATATATATATATATATATATATATATATATATATATATATATGTGAATATCCAAATATTAACACAACAGTCAATGTCCTAATATAAATAAAAATAACAGCCTTTCGGATAAGACTTCAGCCCGATATTTCACCTCCATGTTAGGCATGCAGCATATATTTCAGTGCACCACCGCCCACCAGGTGAACACACCTTAGTGATATGACCTCCCACTTAGTGTTCAGTCTATCAACACTTTTTGTCCTTACAACGGGACTGGATCCTCCTCTCCATCCAGGGCTCCAACTTCAACCATGAATCCCCTCTTCCTACAAACTCCAGTCCATTACATGTAAAGAATGTTGCAGATAGTGCCTTATCCTTAAAGCACTTTATTTCCACAAACACCAACAGAATTGCACTCACATGTATAAGGGGCTAAGGTGGAAGAGGAAATTCATGGTTGAGGTTAAAATCCCTGGATGGAGAGGAGGTCCCGTTGTAAGGACAAAAAGCGTTGATAGAATAAACACTAAGTGGGAGGTCATAACACTAAGTTGAGAGTTCACCTGGTGGTGGTAGTGTGTAACACGGAGGTGAAATATTGGTCTTATCTGGAAAGGTCTTTATATTTGTTTATACAATCACTGTTGTGTTAATATTTGGACATTCACTTATATATATCAAGATTTTTTGTTATATTAGTTGGTGTATACGGGCATATGCGCTCTGGGATTACTTTATAATATCACAGTGTTATTTCATGGTATGTCATTTTTTGTGGGTGCAATCTATGGAATTGAGTATGACACACATGTTTATGTGATTAGCGCAGCACTATTTTGTTTTTTTCGGTTTGATGACTAGAGGTCAATGAGTTCACTGGAGCTGGTTCACATTTAACCTCCCTGGCGGTATTCCCGAGTGTAGCTCGGGGTAAGGTTTCAGTACCACAAGCGGTAACCCCGAGCTACACTCGGGCTTACCATGCGGCGCTGCTCCACGATCCCTCGATCACTTACCTTGTCCTGCGCTCCCGCGATGTCCCTCCTGCAGTGTAATCCGGGGGATGCTGGCATCTGTCATCTGGGTTCCGTCCCTCTGCGAGCGTCGGGACGTACGGGGGACGGAACGGCGGGAAATTTGAAAATGACAAAAAGTGACATTCACTAAAATCACTAAAATAACATAGTAAAACATTACTGTATCAAAGCATTTCATGTACATTTTGTCCCTAGTGCTTTGTCCTGTGCCCTGCCTGCATTTTTACTGTTCTTTCTGCCTGGAAACTGAGAAACGTCCATGGCGTCCAAAAAGCGTCCCTTTAGGTCAAAAGCGGTTTTAGACCAGCTAGAATACAGCTATAGCAAATCAGAACCACTTGCAGAATTGAGTGATAATGATTCGTGGGAAAATTCGTCATCGGACACTGAAAACGATTTTGCGACTTTGCTCAGTGATGTGCAAACTTGGCGCTATATTTCAAATTTCAGTGTTTTTGGTTTGATTATATTATTGAATTAAATTTATTATTATTATATTATTATTTTTTATGATTATTTATTAAATTATAATTTATGATTTCGTGTTTCAAGTTTTATCATACCCGGGATGTTTACTAGACTCTTGTTCGGACAGATTTCAGTGAGTTATTCCTAAAAATTACAGGCCTACAATAAAAAAAATACATATTTCCATGCAAAAAAAAAATGTACTGCTTTGAGCACAGAAATATGGACATAATCAGACTGCTAGGGAGGTTAAATATATTTTTATTGTTTCTGGTATACTTCACACACATATGTATTTTTTTTATGGTACAGAAGTAGCAGTATATATGTAATTTGGTTTGATGTGTTTTAATACAACACATGGGATTATTTTTAACCCCTTCACGCTGCCCACACGCAAATGTGCGGCCTCCCAGCGCAGGAACTCCTCTTCACACCAGGACAATCCGGTGTGAAGGGGTTAATTATAATTTGTAATAATTTTTCACCTTTTTTTGTTATTATGTTTTCATCACACGGGGTTATGTTAGATCCGTAGCAGCACACAAGTATTAGACCACTGATAATATCCATAATACATACCAATATGTATTATTTGCTAAAACCAATTAATTTAGATAAAATATATGTACTGTAAATATGTAAATTGAATATAGTAATATAAAACCCAAATGACTTAATTAGGCAAATATTAATTCTATGCAATAATAATAATACAATTTACATTTTTGGTTAAAATAATCCTGTCAAATAATAATAACACCATATGCAATATAAAGTTTAATATAAACTCTTTTCTAGATGTTCATGGCGAGAAAAAAAAAATCATCATGGAATCCTCAATTCATCTTGCAAATTGGTACCGTGCTCAGTCCTTATATCTTAGGCTGTCTGGAACCACCATACCCCTGCCCACCCCCCACCAAATGTACAACCTGGGAAAGTATGCTGTAAGAAACTGTGAATATCTGCTGTGAGAATCTTTGTTCAGAAACCATAAAAATGAAATATAAAGAACAAAGGGGCTTCCAGCGTGCCCATGCTACATTATGTAGAGATAATACGTTCAGGCCTTCCAGTTTAGTTCAGTGAGCACAGAATAGTTCCAACATTCCTGGTGCTAAAGATAAGTTTAACTGTGACACTGCACTTCTGATCATTAAAGCCCCCCATCAAGGTCCTTACCTGAACTTCTTCTGGTATCCATAGCCTGAGCTTTATGTACACATCATTATGGCACATAACAAATAGGATTCCAGCTTTTTTTTCCAACACTGATTTCAATATAAGAGAGTACTAAATTCACGCTCATTACATTAAGTATTAATAAAGAGAATGAACCACTGGCATAAAGGCTAACTATTGTTAAAAATTTTTTTATATTTTGAAAATGTGTGCATATCCTCAATCCCTGTAGTTGCAGGAGGGTGATGACTTCTTGTTGATTGCAAAACTACATCTCCCATGGTCCCTTGCAGTGCCCCACATTACTGATGTTCCATCTGAGCCACAGTGAAACAAACACATTCCCAGGCACACTTCAGAATTGCATACTCCATGGAGGGAGCTGACCAGTCGATGGTGTAGACCAGGGGTCTCCAAACTTTCTGAACAATGGGCTGGTTTACTGTCCTTCAGACTTTGAGGGGGCTAGACTGTGGCCAGTGGGAGTAGAAAATACCCTGATGTCAATGGGGATAAACAATTAGTGGGAGAAATAGTGATCCATTGTTGGTAAAAAATAGTGCCCCATCATTGGGATCAGGGAAAAGATTAGTGCCCCATATTTGGTGTCAGTGGGAGAAATAGTTCAAAAACATTGGTGTCAGTGGGAAGAATAGTTCCATAACATTGTTGTCAGTGGTAGGAATAGTGCCCCATTATTGGTGTCAGTTGTAGGAATAGTGCCCTATTGTTGGTATCATTAACAGTAATTATACTCCATTGTTGTTGTCATTAGAAGGAATAGTGCTTTGTATCAGTGGGTGGAATAGTGCCCCAAGGGCCTCATTTTTATTATTATTATTATTCAGTATTTATAAAGCGCCAATAGTTCGCTCAGCGCTGTACATTACAAAGGGGGACAGAACATGTGACAGAACAATACCAATACAATGCAAAACATGAGGGGATCGAGGGCCCTGCTCTTTCAAGCTTACAATCTAGGAGGGAGGGGATGGTGGCACAGGAGGAGATAGCTGTGGGGGATGGAGTGGTAGGAAGAGTGGAGGAGGTCGGCAAGTTAGCAGGGGGCGGGGTAGGCTTCCCTGAAGAGATGGGTTTTCAGGGTGCGCCTAAAGGAGAGGAGAGTAGGTGATAATCTGATGGGTTGGGGCAGGGAGTTCCAGAGGATGGGTGACACCCTGGAGAAGTCCTGGAGGCGGGCATGGGAGGAGGAGACCAGGGAACTAGAGAGAAGGAGGTCTTGTGAGGAGCGGAGTGTGCGTGCTGGGCGGTACTTGGATATTAGGTCAGTGATGTAGTTCGGGGCAGTATGGTGGACAGCTTTGTACGTCAGTGTTAGGATTTTGAATTTGATCCGTTGCGCAATCGGAAGCCAGTGGAGGGATTGGCAGAGGGGGGTGGCGGAAACGGAGCGGTTGGAAAGGTGAATGAGTCTGGCAGCCGTATTCAGGATGGACTGAAGCGGGGATAGCCAGCGGCGAGGCAGGCCAGTGAGGAGGGAGTTGCAGTAGTCGAGTCGCGATATGATGAGGGAGTGGATGAGCTGTTTAGTGGTTTCTGGAGTTAGGAACGTGCGGATTTTGGCGATGTTGCGGAGGTGGAGTCTGCATGAGTTTGTTAAAAGGCAAGCAAAGGGCCACATCTGGCCCCCAGGCCGCAGTTTGGAGACCACTGGTGTAGATTTTAGCTATTTAGTCCACTTTTCAGTTGTTTGATTACTTTTTATTAGCCCTGTTTCTGAAACAATAATCAAGCAACTTATCAGCATGGCAAAAGTGTGCACTATCCCGCTGGGCGGAACATGCTTGTCTACAGGGATTTGTTCTTTCACACAGGCTCATCACTTGCCATCACTTACACTTTTAGTATTCTGCTGTCTTGTAATAGTCTATTCTCAGTGCATCTGAATGGATGGCTATAAAGGGAGATATTGAGAAAAAAAATTTTATTGAAGACACAGGCATAAAGGAAATGAATTCAGAGTTATTTATGAGGTGTAAATGTACACAGAATTTTAAAGAATTAGGATAAAATAACTGGGAATTGAAACTAGAAGCAGATATTTAATTTTTATTTTTTGACTTTACTTATGCTTCAATCAAAAGAAACAGTCAGAAACAGTAGTAGGGCAGTAAGCTTAAGACTGTAAAACAGTATAAGTGCCTATATTAAGTGCAAAGAAATGCCAATGCTTTTGTGCTCAGTAACCCAATTTCCTACCAAAGTTTGAGCAAACCACCTACTGCATTACATATTGTCATGTGAGAACCTCTATTTGACTTTATTAGACTATGTAAGATTAAAACAGTTTATAAATTGGATTTTACATAGCAGCATGCACAGTGTGTAGGAATTTCAGGGATGCTTAGTGCTCAGTATACAGTGAACTCAGGCTGCTCTAGTGACACCCTCCAAGGGGGTGTATTCATCACAGCCTGGACTCACAGGAAGTGGATAGAAGGACACTGTAAATCTTTCAGGCCTCATTCACACCATATGTGCAGAAAAACTGATGGAAACTGACACACAGATTTACTGCTATAGGACGGCATGGGTGTGCACAATCATGTATATATACATGATTTTGCAGTTCCAGGTAGGGGCCCTACCCGCACCACCATTCGTGGTCTCATCTGTCGATCACCGGGTATCTGCAACAAGGGAGAGACCTGTATACAAAGCACAGATCTCTCACCTGCCAGCTCTTGAACACTGCTTTGTATGGCTTTGCATAGCAAAGCCATACAAAGCAGTGTACTTACAGTGAAACACAGCCTCATAGTAAAACAGCACACAGTTAACCCTTTGATCGCCCCACATGGTAACTTCTTCATGCCCAGTGCCATTAGTACATTGTCAGTGCTTTTTATTAGCACTGATCACTGTATTGGTGTCACTGGGGATGTCAGTGACACCAAGTCAGCTCCCCCCAGTGTCAGAATGCCCGCCGCAGTCCCGCAGTCCTGCTACAAGTTGCTGATTGCCACCATTACTAGTAAAAAAAAAAAAAAAAAAAAATTTCAGTATATATACCGCCATTTGTAAACGCTATAACTGTCATGTAAATTAATTAATCTACATGTATTGCGATTTTTTTTAGCAAAGACATGTAGCAGAATACATTTTGGCCTAAATTTATGATAAATTTGATTTTTAAAATATTTCTACTGGACATGTTTAGTAGCAAAATGTCAAAAATATAGTTTTTTTCTCAGAATTGTCGGCCTTTTTTTGTTTATAGCGCAAAAAAATAAACAATGAACAGGCGATCAAATACCACCAAAAGAAAGCTCTATTTGTGGGAAAAAAAGGACATAAATTTAATTTGGGTGCAGCATTGTTACATGACCACACAATTGTCAGATAAAGTAATTTTTTTTGTTAAAGTGGATTCCTTTGGTATACAGAGCAACTGACATTTTGTGGAAAGATGCTCTAGAGTGTCTTCTCACAAGATTTTGCATCCCAAAGGAACCATTTCGGAACAGTGGTGATGACACGCTAAGAGTTGCAAAAGGGTAAGGTAAGTAT